TTTTCACACGCGCGCGATGAGCCAGGTCGGGTCGGGTCGGGGCGTGGGCGTGGGCGTGGGCGCGCGATGCACTGAATCATTTGTTTTATCCGAATTACACCTTTTCAATTTTAAAACGTGTTTCTTCAAATTGAAAATTAATTTTTAAATAATTTGTTTTCCTTTTTTTCTCGTGTCTCTTCTTCCTCTCCGAATAGGTGAACTGTTCTGAAGAGGCTCCTATCTAGAAGGACACATCTGTGGCCATTCGGGTCTGAGAGCACTCTATAAAAGAATGCTGGTCGACCGAGTCAAGTAGACACCATTTTTGACTTTCTTTTATCTGAGAAATCTGAGCATCAATCTTCAATGGTTCGCAGAGGTCTGGTAAGAGAGTGCATGCCTACCAGTGGCCTGTGGGCTGTTTTATCTTGGTGACTGGTTTGCGATCACCCGGCTGCACCGTAGGGGGAAAATACGGTTTTAAGGAGAGTGACCAAGTGGCACGACTCAGCCCTCCATCTTCCTGTAATTTCCAATTTCGAGTTCCTGTAACAACTTAAAATCACTGCAACATCGATAAAGGAAAGCAATTACCGATAAGTTCCACTTGCTATCTCTTTACTATTTTTCAACATATTCTACAAGCTGGAGAATCCATTTATATATATATATATATATATAACGAAGGAACATGATTTTGTAAATTTTAAAGGTATATAATGATGGAATAACTCAAAATATATATGAATTATCTTAACAGTATGTAATTTCCATAAAGTCGATCCATGCATGTTTTCCCATCTTACCGACTCTTTTGGACACATTGGGTTGAGACTATTGTATAGATATGTCCATGCTGCAACATTGCATTATGCACATTATTAATGTATGTCCCTCCATCCAAGTTTCAAGACAGCCATGCCCCAGTTGATCTTGAACCAATAAAATTCTTCACGAGGAGGTTTGAAACTCTTTCTACCAGTTGACTATGGCAATGAGTTTAATTGTGGGACCTATATTTATAGCTAGCCACCGACCAAGACAAGATTGTTTATTAGGAAATAATTAATTAACTTTCGTATTGATGGAGGGCTGGTTATTGTCATGCCTTGATAAGGTTAAGGCCTTTATTATCTAGATCTGCTTACCAATAATTTACTTTTCACAGTCTTATAACAAGGGTTGCTAAATATATATATATATATATATATATATATATATATATATATATATATATATATGTATATGTGTGTGTATGTGTGTGTTTTCTTTTCAAAATCATAAGTTCAATATTAAGGCAATTGGCCAGAATTTTCTTTAGTATTCTTTATTAGGAAGACTAATAAGTGGGTACAGTTAGGTGGTGTTTGATAAATCTGAAAAGTCAAAATGATATTTTTGTGTTTGAAATTTGAAAAGAAGTATATGTGCTTTTCTACTTTTTAGAGGCTCTGAATTCATAAGTTTGTTTGTGTTCGATCAACCCTTTACCATCTGGAATTCATCGATTTTACTATTTTACCCCTAGAACATACTATTTGGAAGTGTTGAGTTCAATTTGCATTATCTCATAAAAAATAATTTTCAACCTCAAAATAATATTGAAACAATACAAGTAAAAAATAATAAATTAATAATTAATAAATGAAACAATTAAAATTAAAAAAAATTAACGACTATAGTAAAAATAATTAATAATTAATAAATAACACAAGTAAAATTAATAAAAATATTAAAATAAGAAATAATTAATAATTAGTAAAAATAATTTATAATTAATAATAATTATTATTATTACTCAACGAACTGCCTCTACAACTTGTAGTGGTGGTGGCGGTGGTGAGAAGATAGGGGAGAGAGAGAGAGAGAGAACCGTCGTTGCTGCAAGTTGCAACGATGTTGGAGTTTCGTTTAGATCATTGTGAGGGTTCAAATGACCTACTAGCTTATATGAAGGGTAATCCATGTCATATTTAAATTTATTTGAGGACACTTATGTTCTTACATACCTTTGAATTATGTCTGACCGCATTAAGGACCTGCTCCACCTCTTAGGAATTAAGATCTGAAATTGGATATCAAATTTAGTAATAAGAGGGCATACCAAATGAAGGTGGGGTTTGAAAAGCAACATTTTCAAATTTTAGACGTTTGAAAAGTGCAATGAAATGCCACCTTAATGTGGGTATTTGTGAAAATTCACAAGTGGTACAAACCTAGTATAGGTATAAATGGGTACTCGATTATCTGCTGTTTGTTGATGGAACTGATTATAATGGGGGTTTTGTTTTCGTGGACATATGGTTTATTAAGAATTTAGTCCAATTCCATATTTGATTAATGAATATCCAATAAAGTAAGCATGGGATGAATCTCGAATCTTGTAGAAAGTAAATCACTTTTTTTTTCCTTTTATTTTCGTTTTATATATTTGCTTGCAATAAAGTTTAGATCCAAAAATTTGTAATTATTGTATTTTTATTATTTATTATCGTATTTTCATTATCACTGTATTTTCAATATTTGTGTATTTTTGCTATAAATTTTCATGAATTATTGGAGATTAGACTATTAGTTTAACTAAAATTAAGAGTGTTCATGGGTTTGTTCGGTTTAGTTATAGGCATTTTGGTAACCAGATCGACTTGGTTATGTTGGGGAGTTGGTTACTTGGAACTGACTAACCTTTAGTGAAAACTAGTCAACTTGGGTTGTATCAGTTTTGGTTCGTTGGTTCAAAAGATTTAAACTTAAGAAATTAAATTAATTTTTTTTTAAAAAAATACAATGGTATTATTGAAAAATAAATTTAAAAATTAAATTTCTGATATAAAATATTTTAGACTAAGAAATATGAGATTTTTCTCACTTTCATGTATTATATATACATATACATATATACATACATATATATATATATATATATATGTATGTATGTATGTATGTATGTATGTATGTATGTATGTATGTATGTATGTATGTATGTATGTATGTATGTATGTATGTATGTATGTATGTATGTATATTGAGTAGTTCCATTTTTGGTCAATTTACAAATGGCTAAAGTAAAACAGATCCAACTTGGTCGGGGTTGGGAAATTGTTGAACCAAGCCGATTGAAAATACTAGAAAATCGACTAACTTGGGGCGAACTAGTCGGGTTGGTCGGTTTCATCAGTTTGATGAACAACCCTAGATGAAATTAATTATTGTTATTTTTGTATTGTATTGAAATTATTAAAAGTAGTATATAAAATATAAATAATTATCGATTATTTAAAAAGTTAAAAATATGAAACAGTTGTTTACTCATATGTGTTTCTATTGTTTAACTTTCGCTTAACAAATCTTGTGCACCACATGGGTAAACTAAGAAAACGTATACGATAACCAAATTTAGTTGTTGCAATTTCTCTCGCGATTAATTCATTTCTCTACTCATCACTATCAATGCCGCATGCATATACCTAGAAAGTGAGAGATCCCCCACACTTGACCTATTGCCATGGACCCTATTAGACAAACAAACCTGTCCATGGCACCTTTGAATCGAACCTTGTTATTAGACACTTGAAAAAAAAAAAAAAAAAAAGAAAAGAAAACCAGGAAAACATCAACAGTTTCCAAAAACCAACATCTAATGTAATGATCAAATACACAAGCCGAATATTGGTGAATGTAATGAATTTATATAAAAAGGAATGAAACTTCAAAGGAATAATAATATTAATGTCCCGGCATCGTCTTCACCTCCTGTTATTTCATTGGCCGGATTTGCACGGTCTGGTTGTCAAGTTTCCCTTGCTTTATTATGCAATCACCCGCCGGAGCATGGCCGACGAACAAAGCAACATGACCCAGAAGCTTGTCTTTCCTAGAGAACGTCGTGCCACACGTACACTGCCACTTGAGTTCTCCACAGTGCTTCTCATGGGTGCGGAGATCGGATAGCACAGAGAACTGCTTCTGGTTGCACCTGTTACAGACATACATCTTGGGGCAGTGGCTCCTTTTGTAGTGATTCTTCACACATATCATAGATTTCAAGGGTTGGAACTTGGCGTGCTTCCTGTTCCACCTGCATCCCTCCTGTGGACATGAATAATATTTCCTGGCCACCAATTTCGTCGAATACTCTCTGCATTCCTCCGAATTGTTTGCGTTCTTCATGGGGTTGCTTAGAGATGCACTTGTCTTGTATTCATCTCCATGTGCTCTCATATGCATTCTCAGATTTGCGTCTCGCTTGAATCCCTTCCCGCAGATTTGACAATAATGTGTGAATTTGGCCAACAGATCTGCCGCCTCCAATTCGATAATTTCACAGTTTTTTGGTGAAAAACCATGTAATCCCCCATTACTTTCAACCCCATGTGGCAATTCTTTCTCTCCTGCATCTGCATCGTTGTTGTTGTTGGTGGTGGTGGTGGTGTTGCTACTGCTGATGGTAATACTGTGTTTATGGTTGTTGCTAGTATGAGTCTCATTGTTACAGTTATCGCCATACCAATCAAGATGTTCACCGGCGGTGAAGAAGCTTCGTTCAGCTTCTACCATCTGGACCTCCCGACCACAGGCAGCGGCAGCTGGTTGCGCCTCGCCACTGCTGTTAGAAACCTTAACATGCCGCTGGTGCAATTCATGGCTGTTGATGTTGTTGACCCCAGTGGAACCAAGAGCCAGCTGCTGACAAGTGAACATCATGGAAGAAGCAGTGATGATGATCTCTTGAATGAGGGTGCCCATGCCGGCTATGGCTAGGGCGGCAGCTTCAGGTTGGCCTTGATTGCTTGAGATAACGACGCCGACCAGAGATTGCAGCTGCAGAACCTTGTCCCTGAGATGGGAGAAACTGTACAGGAGAGCGTTGGACTGAGTCTCTGCAACGGAACTCTCCTCCAGAGAAGAGGACGCCACATCATCAGCCATCCCAAACATCTGCAATCCCTGAGAGACATTTTGGTAGCATGAAGTGGCCTCTGAAATCATCTTCCACCCTTACTTTGTCCCCTTCAAACTGCCTTAATTTCTTTTGATAATAATATCTCTTTCTCTTAGTTTGCAACTGGATATGAACCTCAATTTATGTCTCTCATTTTCACAAGAGGCTGCTAAGAAATCCCGTCTCTTGCTGTTCAGATCGGGAGAAGAAACAAAATAGTCACTTTTTTGACTTGAGAGAGAGATATAAATAAGGTTGAAGTCAACTTGGGAGCTTTCAATCTATATAGGAGCATCCTCACTTAAACCTCCCTCAAATCTTGCCAATCCCACAAGAGACGAGGCTTGTATAGAATAAGGGTGTAGGAGAAAGTAAGATAATAGTTAAAATATGTGGACACAGCTTCACTTATTCGTATTGTTGGTCAATAATTTTGTTACTTACATGGACACAAAATGATATAGTATTAAAGTATTAATGTGTGTGCATCAATCCTCGCGCATGCGCTGATCTTTTCGATGAGTCACCTTCAAACTACATGACAACCCATTCACGTTAGTCGTTAGGTGTCACCTTCTCACCAGTTGGAAGGAAAATCTAACAGAGCCACGTACGTATATATTATCTCATGGCATAACCAACTGTATCTTTGCCAAGCCATGTAATATGGGCTGATGTAAAAAGATGCCCATGTGGTATATTGATTGTAGTTGATTTTAAATATTCCCATATTATTATTATTATTATTATTATCTTTTGAAAGGCTACACAACCGTAGGGAGGGGTATCCCCAATCCAGGTGCAGGCAGGATTTGATCCTAGGTCTCTCTTTCGATTTGTACGAAGCCTTATCAACCAGCTGATTGGCATCATATACTACTTTCAGTCCTCCATGAAGGGAGAGGAGGATCACCACACCACCGGGTGGTGTGGAGAACATGGCATCATAAGCACAGTTGAAGTTTATGGCTCTCTTAAACATCATCTTAGGGAACTTTTCCCTCCTTGAAGGAACAAAGTTTTTTACACTCTGGTTGGACTATTTCTTTTTTCATTTTTAATATTTTTATTATTTAGGGTAAATTATAGACAACCACCTTATATTTGGGGTCTAGTGACACTTAAGCCCCCAAATTTTGCCCTGCAACAAAAACCCCCTGAATTTCTGAATTCCAGCACTTTGCCCCTGCTGTTAGCATTCTATCTGTTAACTAAAATACTAAACCCTCAAATTATCCTTATTTTATGAGATGTTTTAGCCTTTTGACTTACGTTTTACTAAAATGCTAACTCTCACATGTTTACCTCAACTTTCTTTCAATAATGTTCATGTTGAGAACCTTAAGAACGATTTGTACTTGGGAATGATTATTTTCATCATTTTGTTATTTAATTTGTTGCTGTCATCTCGAACAGGCAATTTAAAATTTGATTTTCACTGTCAATACTATTAAAGGGTCAGAGGGCAAAGTGCTGGAATCTGACAAATTAGGAGGAGGGGGGGGGGTGTTGAAGAACAAATTTCGGGGGGAGGGGCAAGAGGGGGTTTATTTTCCCTATTATTTATTTATTTATTACCTTTTTTGTAGTAGTGAAAAAGCACGAGGGGTTAGGAATCATGACCGGTGCAATTTTTGTGCTGCTGCAAGTCAATTGGACCATTTTGTCATCTTTTGAACAGAAGCTAGCAATTACGCAACCGATTTATGACTATTGAGAGTCTGGATCTGTTCTTCACACCAACCTCACAACACATTCCAGGCACACTTCGGGAACATCTCTCATACTGGTGTTATTATTAATGAGATGTTTCCAATACATGGTCGGCTGTGCTGTGAGGTGCACTCTGAGGACCAAATCCCTATGAACACAAATGGAGAAATTCAAGCAGAACTTATTGTGTTGATTGAGGAAACCTATGAACACAATTGGGGAAATTTGAACCATGGCATCTCAAGGGGCATTTGACAAACATATGAAATTAAGATTATTCTATAGCGTTTTCCATCTTTGAAATGTATTTATTACCTAAAAGATAATAAATAAAAATTGAGATTAGTTCATTTCTTGCAATCCTAGATTACATGATTTTAAATTATTCCAAGTCTACATGAAGACTAGTAGAATCGTAAGCTCATGTCTACACGCCTTGGATGACTTCAACTTGTGGCTCATTTCATATACTACAGGAATAAGACTCCATTTCCATGTGGCTACAAACGCCCCCACAAGGAATCTGTATTAATCAAAGCTTCAATTTTGTTAACAAAGAGAATCGACCGTCCAATTTGTTATTTCTTTTTCAGTGATTTTAGTCCGTCAATGGATCGGATAATGGCTACGATCAAATCCGATTTACCTAGATAAGGATCAAATCTGGAACTACTCCTGTCCCACCCAAGTAAAAGTTTTACGTTCAAGTTCATGGGTGTAGTTTTGTCCATCATATCAAACAACTATCTAAATGCATCTTGACCATATATCCAGAATTGTAGTTGCATATTACTATAATCCGACCCATTTGCCCGTAGACCATCTGCCAGACTATGGTATCGTTTCAAAAATATGTAAACTGCGTATACATATATTTCTAAATGTTTCATATTTCTTATATAATTAATAAATATGCATTATATACATAAATATATATATATATATATATATTTAATATATAATATATTATTGATCATTTAAAATATAATATTATATATATTATATATAAAAAACCAAAAAACCGATAGTTATCCAAACCGATCAACCGATAGAACTCATTCATTTTCAAAAAATAGGCCCCACCGAACCGTGAGCACCCCCAAGTACTAGACAAGGGAAGTGAGAAGAGGGTAGGTATATTTTCAAATGTTTTATTTTTATTTTTTATTGTTTGCTTGCTGCAACTTGACCTTAACAACCACCGAGAGTCTACATCTTCCATTTCGATCTTGCTTCAAACCAAACAGGCCTTAATAGCTGGATTCGGAAGCTGATATATTATCCACCCTTTTTGAAGTCTGAAAGTTAACGAAGTAATGGGAACATGCAGAATGCAAACAATTAAACCCGCTAAGAAAGGATTAGGCATTTACTTAATGATTCATTAAGCCTTTGAAAAACAAGTGAACGTTGAATCACTTCTATTGGATGTTGGAGTTATTGATTTATTGAATGCGAGTATAAAACAGTAATCATAAATTAATACATAATAGATTTCTGGGGGGTGATAAACAAGTAAGGTAAATAGAATTTAAAGGTTTAATAAACCTTTGGAAACCTCTTTCTTCTTTAATTAAAGGATAAGAAATGGTTAATTGGACGTAGTTTGTTTGCTGTTAGGTGCTCTTATTCTCTACGAAATCATATAAAAGCCTCATAGTCAAACACCTTGCTCCAATCTGCAAGAAAACTGAAAAATATTTGAATATCGTGCTTGGCACACGCCAACCGGGCCACACTGGACCTGGACCACATAATCCTGTCTGCCTCCCCCGCTTGAATGATAGCCTTTATTTTGTTAATACGAATTTCAGACACATTTGCAATTCTAGGAACCAGACCCCAACTCAGACTCGGTCCGTTGAGGCCTCCCTGGCTCCTGATTTGAACTCCAGAGTAATATGGGTAGACCAGGATTCTTTTTTTTTTCAGTTGGATAGACCAAGTTGATTTCTATAGATAATCTTCATTTTCATATATTCCTAAAAAAGTAGATTCCAACTTTGATCATTGAAGGTTGAATTGATCAAGTTCTATCTTGGTCAATTTAGGTAGTGGACACCGAGTTATCCTTGATTTGGTCCACAGCCAAGATGACCCTTCTGTAGGGGCCATTACTTGGTCTAATGGTAAGATCTCGGGCTGGCATGCATGAGAAATGTAGGTTCAAGTCTGATTGTCCGAGGGTGGTTATTTTGTGCAAAAAAATGCCGAAGGTTAGGACGTACCTAGTCTACCCCTCCGAAGACCCCATATAGTTGGGACCAACATCGGGTAATGGCCAAGATGACCCCTCTGTGGACCAAGACCCAGTCAGCAACTGAGTTAGTCGGATGGATGAATATCTCAATCCTCCTGGTTTGTAAGGTTTGCAAGTTCTCATGTATGGAATGTTTTTATAACCATCGAGAAGAATTGGTACTATGTGTGAAAACAAGTAAACGACTACAATGATACAAAGATGCAAAGATCACCAGGGAGAAACACAGAGGTTAATCTTTACTGTGATGGCAATTTCCTCTTTAAAGGCACCACAAATATTAACCTAGGATTTCATTGCAATTATAAAGAATACCAAATTAATTTCAGTAATGTTGGAAGTACAAAGAAATTAGATACTGCAAACTCTAAAAGATTTAAGTAGTTCTTACGTGTGGAGTGAAAAAGGGGATCCAATGGGAGCTATAAGGCCAAGATGCCGCATTATCCTGAGTCTCCGTAGCTTCTTCACTGATCTGGTTGGAAATGTCCCCTCCTACAGAAGAAGAATGTGAATGCAATCTAAGTAAAGATAGAGTAATCAAGCACCAACAATGAAGAAATGCCTTAGCAACTCACATCAAAATGAACTTTCGGTTTCCTCTTCCTTTTTTCCCTTCCTCTTTCTACATGATCATCCTCTGTTCTGCTTGAATTTGATGCATTCCATTTGTCTGACAATCAGAAAGGGAAGTTAGGCTAGGAATAGAATGTAAGAGTAGCTTCCCAAGCACCTTGGTGGTTCAACCCTTGGAACTATAATACCTAATGAACTGGAAAAGAAGTGTTCACTGTTGCCTGCTATTAATATAATTCATGCAGCCAAAGAACCAGAGAGCTAAGGTCTACTACCTTACTAGGACAATCAAGAAATGCCAAGGTAGCATAACATGTGTTCTGATGTATATACATGGACACAATAGTTTCTTCTAGCCTTCCGATAAAACAATAGCATGCCGTCAATCAAAAGAACCGAATCACCCAGAGAGTACATGCTTGGGTGATTTGATTTCGATGAGCTCACGTGATTATAACATTTCCTGGTTACCCTCCAACAAGTAACAATCATGCTAATAATCAAATTTAAAACCAAATCACCTTGTGACTTGTGAGTGCATGCCTAGGTGATTTGGTTTCGACAGTTCACATTGTCACAACACTTTTTTGCAACCTTACAATTAAGGATAGACATTCTATCAATCAAATGAAAGACAAAATTACCCAATGCATGCATACTTGTTACCAGACCTGTTCATGGGCCGGGCCGGGCCGGGCTCGGGCCGGGCTTTTAGTGTTCATTAACAGAAAAATAATAGGCCCGAGCCCGAGCCCGGCCCGACCAACGGGCCTAGAACTTGGGCCCGAACCCGACCCTGATAAAAAGCCTGAAGCCCGAGCCCGAAGCCCGACCTAATAAAAGAAAATCAAAATTTTCCCTATTCAAATAGACATTATCTATTTTAATTCAGATGTTTTTTTCCCCTATTTAAATGAACAATGGGCCTACAAGTGAATCAACAACCTTCTCAAATCAAAAAAATTATTCAAATGGACATCACATAGGGTTTTTACTTATGTTTAACTATAGGTCGGGCCGGGTTTACTTAGGTTTAACTATAGGTCGGGCCGGGCCGGGCTCGGGCCGGGCTATTTTGGCAAAGCCCGAGCCCGGCTCGAATTTTATGCGGGCAGGGCTTTTTGGCCCGAGGTTAAGCCCGCGGGCCAAAAAGCCAGTTCAAGCCCGTCTGGGGGTCGGGCCGGGCCGGGCCGGCCCGTCAGGCCACCCGGCCCGTGAACAGGTCTACTTGTTACTATCCCAAGTAATACATGAATTACCTTATATCATATGATAAAATGGAGACTACCTCTAGGATCCACTACCTTACTAGGAATATCAAGAAATATGAAGGTATCCTAACATGTGGAGCAATGAGTTCACATAATCATAAAACTTTTTTGTGGCCTGTGAAAAAACCTAAACATTCTATATGTCAAAAGATAAATCAAATCACCCAGAGAGAGACCCAATATGAGTTCACAGTCACAACAATTTCTTGCGACCATCCAATAAAACACAAACATGCTGCTATCGATCAAATGAAAAACCCAATAACCTAGCAAAAGCATGTCTGCTATTGCTACACCAAATGATACGAGAACAACCCACTGTCATATAAAATAGAGACTACCTCTAAGATATATGACCTAACTATGACAATCAGCTGATACCAAGGTAGCTTAACGTGCAGAGTGATGCCTAGGTGACAAGGCACTCATGAAGAGTTGCCTTGCTTAATCACCAAAATATTTTTTACAGTGTTGTTTGATACTCTTAATTTTTTGAGATTATAATAATAAACAGGCATTATTAAACTAAATTATTCAGATTGAATTAAAAAACTAGTTTCTTTTTATTATTTTTCCTATTTGTTAGGGTTCAATCAAGATGTGTACTGCCTTGAACCCTCAAAGACTTCAAAACCTGAACCAATAAGCATGGAAGAACTCAAAGTTTTGTCCAATCAACACATTGATTTTCTTCTCCTTTCATCCTTCCTTTTCCTTTCTTCTTTTCCCAGGATAAAAATAGAGGCTTAGCTCCTCTATTTTCTGAAATTTCTTTTCTTTTTTTCCATTTTTTTCATGAATGTATTGAATTTCTTTGTTTTAAATGAAGTTTATACATTTTTTATGAAGATTATAGACAATTAATAGTGAAAGATGGTTGCTACCTGCTAACCTAGGGAATTACCCTAGAATTCATGTTTTTATTCAAAAAAAAAAAAAATCCCATCCTAGGCAACAAGATGCCCCCTATCTCCTAGCGTCACCTTGGTGCCTTGAAAACTATGTTTAGAGGGTCCCATGCTGGTCATTAGTCCAAGTTTTGCACAAGTGCAGAGCTCTAACCATTTTAGTCTCAAACGCGAATATGAGAAACATCTTGTTCCCTCCTAGACTCTTGATCTTCAGCTTTGCATAGCTGTGCCAAGCAAGGGGGGGCCATCTCTCTACCTCTCCAAAATTTAGGCAACTACCAGCAAACCAAATGATCAAACAGTTCTTGAGAAGATCCTCATGCTCTCTAATCCCCTCCTTTGAGACAAACACTTTGTTGTGAGCACCAAACACTTGAACCCTCGCATTTCCCACCTTGGAGACACCCCAGTCCATGATCAAACAATTTTCTATTTTTTGCTTGTTTTGAACTTCGTACCTCACTCCTATACCTTGTATAAAGCATATAATTTATTCATGTTGCGATGTGATGAAACCTTGCTTCCATGGACATAAATTTGTTAAAAAGTATGAACTTGATTATTAGATAAAAAATCATGGATTATTTTCTACTTTCTGGTAGCAATAACACTAAGTGGCATTAATAAATATGAATATTTTCCACACTGTTCTATTGTAATGTTTTGAAAATCGTAATCGTAAAGAAAGTTGAATCGAATCAAATCATGAATCGTATCGTAAATCGTAAGATTATTTCTATTTTATACAAACTTGTCAAAAAATTAAACATAGATATATTAAAAGGCTAAATATATATAGGAAAGTGATTTTACCCTATTTTTGGATCTATATCTACCATATATGTACTTAAAACAATAGAATTTATCACTTATACAATAGAAGCATAAGATGATATAATCATGTTTGACTTGAAAATCAAACAAATCTAAATACAATAGCCCTTTAACTTACATATGATAGAAAATAAACCCAATTTCCAGTCTTGAATAATGTAAATAAGCCATTTTCCAGTAAGGGCTTTAAAAAAAATCTCCCATGGCAAAACTAAACATAAGCACAAAAAGAAACAAAGTAGAGAATTAATTCTTAATTGAATTTATTTGAATCACAGTGAATCGTAAAAATCGTAGGATTCAAACAAAATCGTAAGTTTTTTGCAGAAAAGGATTCAAACATAAGATTCGAATCGAAACCCTTAGGATTCATGATTCAAATCGTGAATCATATCATAAATCATAAGATTTTGACAACTGTCTGAGCATTCCCTTATTTTAGCTCTTCCATTGTTCCCCCTTTCCCATAGATTTTCTTTTCTAAAATAGAAACCTGATTGAATACTAAAATCAACATGGCCTTTGAATTTCATATCCATGTACTGTTCACAAGCTGAGCAGATGAACCCATCAAATGAAGGGAACCTAGAAGCTCTCTTGCAAGGATGATCAAATGGATCAAATTATTGTGACTATTGGATCTATGCCAATATCTTTCTTGACCTGATAGTGACATTGATGTGATATTTTACCTAATAAGGAGTGCAAATGGGTTGCATTTGGATTAGATATACCAAGTTGGGTGGGGTTGGGTTGAGCATTTATGAAATTTTGAATGCATCTGAACCCTCACCCGAGCCTGATATAGTTGAAGTTCTTCAATTTGGGCAACTGAACTTGCACTCTTAGATATGATTCAATCAGATAACGTACTTGGTATATATGAATATTATCAGAATCTGATTAACTAGATTTAGATCCTATAGAGCCTAAATATGGTTGCCTAAAAGTGACTTCTATGAGACTTCAACTTAAATAGGGCAGCCCAGTACACAAGGCTCCCACCAATGCGGGGTCTGGGAAGGGGCAGATGCACACAGCCTTACCCCTGCAGATACACAGAGAGGCTGTTTCCAAGATTTGAACCCCGGTCACCCAAGTCACAATAGAGTAAACCAACCACTGTGCCAAGGCCCTTCCTCTTTCATGAAACTTCAACTTGCAACTTTTAATTAAGAATGCAACACTCAAATTAATTTTAATAAAACACAAGTTAATTACATATGCACATGTTGATTATTATCATATCAAGTCCTAACATGACCAGACAATCTTTTAAAACCCGACCTGCAGAGCGAACTTCTTTTATGTTAATCCCTGTTTAGTGGTTCAGCAGTTCAATAGTTCAGGCTAAATGTTTTGAACCATGATATCAGCATACTCATTGTTATGCAATGGATGGGTATTGTATCATAACCTGAGTGGAAAAGATCAATCTATACTAGGGATATTGCTATAATTATTAACCCCTAATTTAAGAAAGTAAAAAACTGATAAAAAGAAACCCCCTTTCTCTTTCTGTTTCTCATACTGGTAGATGGAAAGGGACATGCTGATCCAAGAAGAAGGTCAGAGGAACTTACTTGAGAAGAATCCTCTGCCATCAGCCAATGGGAAACACAGACAAGTTCTCTCTCTCTCTCTCTCTCTCTCTCTCTGCCTTTACATTTTTTTCTGGGAAGAACAGGGGTTTCCTTCCATGGTTCCACTTCTACCTAACCAAGTCTCCCTCCCCTACCTATCCCTCCCTCTCTCTCAATTTCCTTTTTTTTTTTCCAACTACCTCTGTTATATTTTTATTTTTATATATTTAAAGATTTAAGATTGCATATCAGTTATTCTTTTTGTTTTCTTTTATGATATTTCTCTCTGTTTTTTTTTGAACAGGAAATTTTCTCTCTATTATTTTATAAAGAGTTTTACATCGAGTTCAGGTTTATTTCTTTTAAGATATATATAAAACAGATTGAACCACATCCTGTGAAATTTGGGTGGGTCAGTTCAAAAATCCAGGTCTACAGGTTGTTGGCAAAGTTCATTTTTATTTATATATTTATTTTTTTAAGTTTGATGGTTGGGGGTGAGAGTGACCTGCTTTATGCTCTGGGAGACAGGTTGAATGGGCTGAACCAGGGATAAGAATGGTTTGGAAACACTGGGATCACATCAGGTGGATCTGGATTCAAAAACATCATTTATTTATTTTGGTAAACCAAAAACATTATTTATGGCACCAATATTCTAGATCTGTACCTAGGCCTAATCAAATTAGGTCAGGATCATATCCAGATAGTCATATGATATGTTACTTCTTTGAGTTCTACCCACTATACTGAACTTTTACACAAGTGGTCAAACTAGGAAAAAAATATAGATAGATCAAAGAACGCACCGGGTGTCTGGGAGTGCTGAATTTCAGGGTTTTCACCTGAGACTCTAAAGGGACTTGTGTGTTTCTTTCTATGCAAATTCTGCAATCAGAAGGGAATAAAATTAATCCACATTAATACAAAAACAGGTCATTGAGACTTTTGACAATAGAAGACTATCAACAAAAGAATGTATCATTGAGAGAGGCAGGATATACTTGTTTCAGAGCATCCTGAAATGATATAATAGGATTATAGCTCTTTACTCCAAAGCACTGAACAGAGAAAAAAAAAGTGTTTAGCATCTACAACAATATTGATTATTGAATGGATAATAATTTCACAAAGACCAACAACATAAAATTATTATGTGGTGAAATAAGTTGTTTAGAATACATGCAACACCAGATCTGTATCATCTGAACATGCATACATAGGTCGCAGCAACCAAATAAACCTAACTGATTCCATAACCTTTCTGAAAACACGATTCTAGGATTTTAGATGGTGGGGTTTGGTAAAATGATTAGGATCTCTACTGTCTAGATTCTATGGGATATTGCAGTGGGATTTTAGTATACAGATTTTCGATTTTATATTTCCATCCAAAAGCCCCTTTATGTCTATAACTTCTTTAACAGAAGCTGGACACCATCCATACTCACATCCTTAAACTGTGAAAGATTTCTCACTGGATCAACCCAAGCACAACAAAAAACACCTCAAACATTTAGCTCCTTCAACTAAATCATCAAACAGAGCTCAAAAGTCCTTTTGCACTTTGCAGCTTCAAAGACAACATGGCACCCATATCAAAAGTCCTTTTGCACTTTGCCTGCTGCATCAACTCTGCAACATTGCAAATCTTCAATTTAAATGCCTCTATGTAAGAGTGGTCCAACCATTTAAACTGTCCAACAGGAGATTCTAGTATCTGTATTTTTCCAATTTACACATTACTAATTAGTTATTACCCATTGTTTATTGATCTTTTCAATTAATATTGAGATTAAGAATAATACTAAAAATCATAATATTAATAGATAATAAAATATTTATATGTGGGATGTGTCCATGCATCCTACTTTTTTAGGTTCACAAGAATTGGACTTCAGGATGTTTGTCAGATTCTGATTCCTATGTTTCTATCCATGCAAAATTGACTATAATATGGCCATCAGAAAGTCAGCTACTTGTGATACGAAGTTGTTAGTTAAGAATGAGATAGGTTACTGCCTCTAAGAACTCATTGACTATTTGAAATTCCAACCCATAAGGTATCTTCCTTAAGAAGACCATATAATTTTGGGTTCTTGAGGAGGATATGATACAGTGTGGATGTTATAATCAATTTCAACAAAGCAGATGTTAATCTATCTCTCCGATGAAACTAACTCTCAATGCATTTTGTCTATTACCTTGTACTTTTCCCTTTTTTTCTCCTCTTAGAATCTTTCTATTGTCTAAATTATACCACTTTCTGGATGGGATGGCAAAATACAATGCATATGAATTTGAAGACTGACTCATCTAGAGGGCGACCTACCATTTAGATTGCCTGGACTTGACCATAAACCACATCATAGTTTTAGCATTCATCACTATATATCTTCTGCATCTTACAGTTTTCTAGTAAAATTGCAAATTAACCAATTCAATTGTAAGCAAATTCTGAAGAGTGTAATTTTCACCTACTTCTAAAGGCCGCCACATCTGGCATGCTCTTTTTGCCCATACTACACTTCCTGGAGTCCAAACATCATTGCTTTCTGTAACTGTTGATGTAAATTTATCAGGAGTAAAAGATAATGTTCCAGTAGTAGCACTTCCTTGTTTTCTAACCTTCCTGAACAAAATAGAAGTTGTCTGTTATTAGAACTAAAAAGTTATCCTACTTTTAAAAAGTTCAAGGAAATGAAAAGGGTAAAGGAAAGCATTCTTTATCATTGTTTCTTAGAAGAATCATTAAGGTCTCAAAACAAAGTTCAACGTATTAGTGCTCAAATTGACTTGCCAGTACATTTGGATTCTTATCTGAATAAAGGGAGAGTTTAATATATAATTCAAACTTGGTGCGTATGGGAGACTTATGAACTAAAGTTTTGCAGCATCTATTTGCTGATCTACTGTGGCACAAAAATCTAGAAGGGAGGGTAAAAGGGTTGTGCAAGAGAAGAAAGAAGACAGAGAAAGGGAAAAAGCTACCTAGGTTAGGATTTGAGAGTAAAAAAGAAATATTTCAGTTTTTTAAAAGTGGTAATGGGTACTACCGATTGCACACGGTGCGACTTTACATGAATTTCAGTTAGATGGAAGATCCATACTTGGTAACCAGCAAGGGTCACAGCATTAACGAACCAGCAGATCCGTACTTGTCTAGAATAGACACTCAAATGTAGTCGACCAGAAGTATAATGGTTCTAGTCCATTTGATTTGTGAGTTATCTGAAAAGTTGAGATTATTATATAGCTGACTCACTCTTAAGCATCTGAATCTGATAAGGTTGAATGAAAATACCTTCACAGGGAGAATAATTTCATTAAAAAACAATTGTACTTAATCTGTTTTAACTGCCACATGACAGAGGAGGTAATTTGGTCCAGCTTTCTGGATTAATGAAACTGATATTGAAGAATCATGGCTAACTAATTCAGTAAACTGGTGGTGGTTCAATAATATTGCTATCAAAACTACTATGTTTTTTTTGTTTTGATAATTGCTATCAAAACTATTATGTTTTATTGACAGTTAATATATGATGACAATAGTCATTCAATCTCAATGACATTTAGGCCATTAGATCTCCAACATGGGCAAACCAAATTATTGTGGATCAATTGCTACCTGCACCATGTAGCAAAAAGCATAAAGTTCTTGTTTCTATTTCTGGATCTTGAAAATGAGGAATTTGATTACATTATGTTAAAGGTACAACAAATAATTTATAGGAAGATAGTAAATCAATAAATTCTATCCATGCAGTTAGAAATTGTCTCAACACATCAAAATGCTACTTTCAGAACAAGTTACGCTTGTAAGATTGCAACGCCACAAGGTTATGAGACAAACCTATTATCTGAGAAGCTCAACAGTGCATTATGAGAACCTGATTCAACTTCAGTAAATTGTACTCCAATTGAGTTTGAGAAGAGATGCTCCAGTCCCTTGTTCTTGGACATACCACCTTGAACCAAAGGGAACTTAAGGATTTCATTTTGGTGACTGGAAATAGGATCCTTACAGCGTTGCTCCATTCTAGCTGTTGTGATGCTGGAACAACCATCTTTGAAGCGTGAGTGATCCAGCATGGAACCTAAGGCATCAAACATTCCAAAACAGAAGCCTCAATTTTTTGAATGAAATTTCAACATGTAGAAACTGCTAGACACTAAAAAGGCAATCTATGAAGAAAATTTGTTCTGGACTCCATAGTACTGCTGAATGATTAGATCGCCTTTCATGATTTAATCCCATCTCATTGTCAAGGGAGAATAAGAAACAGAACAGAGTTGCGGACTTGATTGTTCAATAAACGCTATATCAAATACTGATTCCATGTATAACTACAAAGAATTAATTAAATTGGTGATCAAGCGAGCACCAGAAGCAAATATATCATTGGCAAACAAAAATTTAACCAGGAACTCAACCCAGAGGATTGAATGCAACTCAAAAACAAAGTTCAGCTGAGCAACTAAACAAATCGAGGAATTTAAAGATTGGAAACAATGCAATGAAGGAGACAAACGAACCACGACGACGGCGATAGGTAGAAGGGCAAAGGCGATTACCAGCAGCGGTGGTGGCGGCAGCATCGAGAAGGGGAGGAGAAAGTGAAGGTGGGGCAGAGGATGAGGATGTGGACGGCGAGCAGGCGAAAGGAGAGAAGTCGGTGCGGGGTTTAGGGGTACGGCTTCTGGATTGTTGGCACAACTTTGGAACGTGAACATGCTCTACTTTCTCATTCTTTCTCTCTTTGGCTCTCTTCGCCATTATTGTTATCTCAAATTCTGTTTCTTTCGAAGGGGATTGCAGAGAAAGAAGATCGAAAGAGAAGCACAGAGAGAGGGAGGGGGGAGAAATGTCGAGGGGGAAGAAAATACAAGAGGTATGTATTTTGTCAAGGTGAGACGGAAATTGATACTTGAACACAGTACACTGCTGTAGTACTCAGGATCTACCCACAAACTGTTCCCACTTGCCAACCCAAAACTGGCAGAGATATTTCCAATGCGCAGCTGTAATGTCTTGTTAGTAGAATTGTGTGAACAGCAAGTGGGTAGCAGATCGGAGCACCCTTTCGACCTGGCCTTCATTTTTATCCACCCGGAAAACATTTGGAGGAAGCTCACAGAGTCACAGTCACATGTTTAGGTCTTTGGCGGGTCTGTTGGGTCTAGGCCTACGTGTTGCAGCCTAGGAGGCTATTAGGCCCTACAATTTGCCACGTGCTAAGTCTATTTAAGAAAATTGATCACATGACTTTTGGTTTTAGTGTCATCTTATTTGAAGTTCTTATTCTCAGAGTTTTTCTTTAAACCACAGGATTATTATTATTATATGATCTCCACGGTGAACGTAGAGGACTTGAACCGGGGGAAATTAGCCAAATCATCCTGACACGTGGCTGATTGCAATATGATGCTGACGAGGGCCTAGTATTTCGAGTAGAGTCATAGAAGATTTGGATACATTGACCGACCAAATGTTGTTAACAGTCGCCCAGTCCTGAACCGTGGCCTTTTCCGACAAAAGAAGTGCTAAAAAATTGATGGACTGAGTGAGAGAGAGAGAAGCTAGATTATGGAAATGGACATGCTAAAACATAATATTTCTTTGTCATTTTTTTGCCCTCAAAAAAGCTACACTTCATTACTACGAGATATAGAGTCCGGATCTCCTGCCCTAGAAAGTAGAAATGGTGTGGGCAGTGATTCACTTCCAATAAGAAATAAATACATCACGGTTACCTTGTTTATAGAACAAACGGTAAAATTAATTAAAAAGGAAAAAGTGAAAAAATGAGAGGGAGTCCTTTGAGACTTGTCTTCTATATACTCCGAGCAAAAACTCCATAAGTGAACGACTGAAGGTGCTATCCACCATTGTAGGAGGCCTTCTTGGGTAGGATAGAACTATAAGAGGCTCTCTTGAAGTATTCTCAGACATGGAGGACGAGGATTGGGGTGATATCTCCCGACTAGGAACAATTCCAACAGTCTCCCCATTCTTCTTGATTTTCCAATAAAACCTATATTCTCTTAGTAGAATTCAGAACTAAAGTTCAGGCCTGCTCAGTAGGATGGGAAATGGTGGTGCTTAGACAGATTCCATATATATATATATATGATGATGATGATGATGGAGGGGAATTTGGTATGACCTCGTGACAGTGAGACACGTGGACGTGACTCGGCATAAATGATAAATCGACATAAACAGATCAGCACGTGGGCGTGATAGCGCAGGTGACAATTCAGCAAGTATCAGCTCGCAGCAGAGTGAGCTCGAGTACGCTGATATCCCGAGCTAAAGTTACTTCGGGCTAAGATCATCTCAGTTCGCGAACTGAACAACAATGCCTATTAGTTCGTGTCAACCCAACCCAAGCGAATGAATCACCTCGAAGACGACTTGGCCCAGACAAGACCACCTCGGCACAACACCGATATCTCGCTACAAGTAACTCGCCTTTGGTTAGCTCGCTGCAAGGCAACTCATTATCAGGTAGCCCAATGTCTCGCGGGAAGCTCCTTGTCCGGCAAAACCGTACCTGCCAACTCTGAGGACTACACTCATGCCCCTCGCCTGGTGGCGCCGTGCCTGTCAATCCTGAAGGTTGTCCCCTAACTGGCGGCGCCGTGCCTGCCAAGCCTGAAGGTTGTCCCCTGCCTGGCGGGACCGTACCTTACAACGGTCGCATTAGTCCACCTGCTCCCTAGTTCTGATAAAGACGGTCAGTCACTCCGAAAACGTTACCTGACAATGGATCCCGTCGCAGCAGGGATTTGCGGTCAGCCCCACCAAATCTGTCAGGGCACCAGTATATAAAGACTCTAGCTCCCCTAGGGGGAAGAGGTATCACGCAATCACCATTCTCTAGCTCTCTCATTTTCTTGCAATCTTATCTTTCTAGCTCACAACCGAGAACTAACTTAAGCATTGGAGTATTCCCGTCGGGTGAACCACTCCAGGCTCCTTAACTCTCTTCATGCAGGTCTCTTTCGCTCATCGCCAACTAAGAGCAAAATCACTTCCACCTAGGAGCGGTCAGATTGCGCATCATCAATTGGCGCCGTTTGTGGGAAACTTTCGAAAAGCCTTCTTTATCATCAACCATCGACATTAATGGCATCTTCTAGCGATGCCGGGCAGAACAACGAAATGAACACCTCTGGGGGGCAACTTCAGGCCCCCACCGTGCGTATCGGCCAGCTTACCGTGCCTCTTGGCACTTTCGGGGTCCCCACACTGAACCTACCCTAGGTCGCCGAGGCGGTGAACGCCCCACTCCCCTCTGCGGTGAACGCCACCTTCACTGAACCCTCCGTGGTTCCTCCCGCGGTGGGGCAAAATCAGCTGAGTGACCTAGTACAGTGTGTACGGGCCATGCATACCCAAATGCAGCAAGTCCAACAACTTCATCACTACCAGCAGCAAGTCCCGCATCATTTCTACCCGCAACAGTTCCCAACGCTGCAGCAAAACTGACAGTCAGCTCCACCGCGATGCCCAATCACGCCACAGAACAAGCAGCCACTGAATCCCCGCCGGAATATCTGCCCTCCTCGCCAAGGGGAGACCTCCCAAGCATCATCCCGTAGCAAGAGAGAACAAATAGCTCCCACCACCTCGCGACAACAAGGTAGAACAGAAGACACTCGCCCCACCAAAGCCAGTCCGCCCCAACGTGCGCAACCAGAAACCTCACTTATGGGTAACTGGTTCGAAGCCTTGGCTGCAAGCTCTGAGCGAGTCCCTTCAGCTCGCGGAAGCCAGTATCAGCCCGATTCTCACCAGGCCAGGACCTGGCCTGACAATACTGAAGCAAGCAGCACCAGTACGGGCCCCGCCAAGAAGCAGCGAAGATGACATCCCAAGGTGTGTCGTGCAATAATCCCCGAACGGCTCGCATAACCTGGCCAACCCGAGCAACCCAAAGGTAGGGCGGGAGCAAACTCGGAGGTTACAAAGGCCGCCCCTCTCCTCTTGGTGCCTTCCCCCCTCTCCTCTGAGCTCCTGGCAGCTCCCATGCCGAAAGACTTCAAGGTACCCCCTCTAGACAAATATGACGGGTCGTTTGACCCAAATAACCATGTGGACTCTTTCTAGTCCCAGATGCACCTCGCCGGGACTAGTGAAGCCTGCATGTGCGTTGCCTTCTCCACAACTTTCAGGGGGTGGAGCACACATGGTATAGGAACCTCCGGTCTGGAGCAGTCAAAAGCTGGGTGTAGTTCGTACAAATGTTCACCTCGCACTTCGTTACCAGCAAGAAGTGTCCAAGGTCGCAGGAAAGTCTCCTTAGCATATTTCAGAAAGAAGGAGAGTCCATCTGGATCTACATCAAGCGCTTCAACGACACCTGCCTCCTGATCCCGAACCTGGACCCCATTGTGAGACTCGCCACAGCAAAGAGAGGAGTCACCCACAGGGAGTTCAAGTGGCACGTGGTGGTGAACAAGCCCAAGGACATCACCGCATTCCTCAAGCTTGCTGACCAATTCATCGAGACCGAAGAGGAAATGAATCAAAAAGCCGGAGCTCCAGCAAAGAAGAGGAGGAGGGACGACGACAAGACGCATCATGGAAGTGGCAAGAGGAAGAAAAACAAGTCCCCGACCAGGGGAGAAAACAGGTCGAGTTGGCACTCCCGAACTCCTCCAGCTGAAAGGACGAGTTACACCCCCCTCAACGCAAAGTGAGGGGAAATTCTTATGATGATTAAAGACGCCCCGTTTGTAAAGTGGTCACCTCGGATGAAGGGGGACCCCACCACCAGAAGTAAGAATGTATATTGCCACTTCCATAAGGATCACAGTCACAATACCGAGAACTATAAAAGCCTTTGCGACGAGATTGAAGAGCTCATCCGTTGTGGATCCTTGAAAAATTTTGTACAAAAAAAGTAATAAAAATCAGACAGATCACCAAGGGGAGCAGAGGAGAGATGCTCTCGAATCCAGTAATAGACAAGGCGAGCAGAGACAACCGCCTGAGGAAAGGCCAGTCCGCGGAGTGATCAACACTATTACTGGCGGATCTATCATCGCGGGCTGCACTTCAACAGCAGGAAAGGCCTCGGTCCGCGAGCTGGAACAAGAAAAACAGAACCCTCCGAAGCGATTGTGGCCCTCGGACCCGAGGACGATGCGCGAGGAGTCCATTATCCCCACGATGACGCTCTAGTCATAAGAATGAAGATCAACGACTTTGAAGTCAGGCGCATCTTGGTGGATTCGGGAAGTTCGGCCGACATCCTGTTCAGGAGCACTTTTGGCAAGCTGCAGCTCCGGGAAAGCGACCTCCAGCCCGCAATTACCCCTCTAGTGGGCTTCAGTGGAGAAGAAGTCAGGCCCCTTGGTCGAGTTTCATTGCTTGTAGAAGTCAGAACGTGGCCCAACGTCGCGAGGTTCGAGCACCCCATCCTGGTGGTCGCGACGCCCTCCCCGTACAATGCCATTATAGGACGTCCCATCACCCATGCGCTTCGTCCAGTGGTATCTACCTACTACTTGGCAATGAAGTTCCCCATGGACTTCGGGATAGGGGTAGCTCGGGGCGACCAACTCGAGTCCCAGAAGTGTTACGTCGCGGCCCTCAAAGGGAAAGCCAAGCTGGCGGAAAGCGTTGATCTTGAACGACCCGTAGAGTATCCTGAGGAGCGAGCTACACCGACCGAGGGAACGATCCCCATCCCGACTTCGGAAGAAGACCCGACCAGGACCCTCCAGGTCAGGGCAACAGTTGGAGAACCTCTTCGAACCCAACTGGTAAGTTTCCTACTCAAAAATTTAGATGTATTTGCATGGTTCGTGACAGAAATGCCCGGCATAGACTCAAAAATAATAACTCACAAGCTAAACATTGATCCCATAGTGAGGCTCGTTAGACAAAAGAAACACAACCTTGCCTCGGAACGCTGGAGGATAGTCGACGAGGAGGTCGGGAAACTTCTCATAGCCGATTTCATCAGGGAGGTCCATTACCCGAGCTGGGTAGCTAACCCCGTTCTGGTAAAGAAGGCCAATGGTAAATGGTACATGTGCGTCGACTATAC